TGTCAACAGAGAAGTCCTTACAGGGAATCAGACTTACTCTGCTCACCTCTCTAGCTTCAACAGCACAAAGTCTGTTTCGACTATCAAGGCACCCCGGAAATAGTGGGTCACAAGAGAGTGACAAACATACAAAAGAAGTAGAGGAAAAAATGACAATAGTAAGGATTAGGAAAGAAAAAGCAGCAGTTCCCTGTTGTAGATCAGGCACAGTTATGAGCTAAATAAACTGTATGTATGACTAGAATGAGCTAAATGAACTGTATGTATGACTAGAATGACCTAAATGAGCTGTACGTAGGACTAGAATGAGCTAAATGAACTGTATGTATGACTAGAATGAGCTAAATGAGCTGTACGTATGTATGACTAGAATGAGCTAAATGAACTGTACGTATGTATGACTAGAATGAGCTAAATGAGCTGTACGTAGGACTAGAATGAGCTCAATGAGCTGTGTGACTAGCTAAACATGATCTAAACATCCAGTCTGTGTAAACTGAACTATATGAGCTAAACATCAATGGTCTGACAAAACAGAGCTGAATGAGCTAAACGCCCATGATCTGACAAAACTGAAGGTTACGAGCTAAACACCCATGATCTGATAAAACTGAAGGGTCTGAGCCGTATGATCCAAAAGTGGTTGCAGCCTACTGTGTGGGTGAGAGAGTGAGCGTTGGTCTGTGTGGGTGAGAGAGTGAGTGTTGGTCTGTGTGGGTGAGAGAGTGAGTGTTGGTCTGTGTGGGTGAGAGAGTGAGCGTTGGTCTGTGTGGGTGAGAGAGTGAGCGTTGGTCTGTGTGGGTGAGAGTGACCACCTGACCAGTGGCGACTAGATGACTAGAGGACAGACAGGACGACTCGCTCCACGTAGTACATGGCTCTCTCTGGGACAAACGCTCGCACATGGGACAGGATCTGAAATATGGGAGAAAGAGAGAGAGAGAGAGAGAGAGAGAGAGAGAGAGAGAGAGAGACAGACAGACAGACAGACAGACAGACAGACAGACAGACAGATAGCTTGGTGTGTCAAACAAGAAAAAAAGCAAATCGCTCTGTTTTATCTTCACTGATCTTTGCATACATACAGGTCTTGTGTAGTTTTAGTAAGAGTTTTACGGCACTTGCTACACAATAAGGTAATGTTGTTGTTGTTTTCAAATCCCTTTAGCTGCGAGCATTTCGCTCTTGGCAGCGCAATGCCTCTCTCAAGTAACCACATGTCCTTGTCATCTGGTCAGCGTCAGAGTAGAGCAGGCTTTGTAAGTCTGTAGGTGTGTGTAGGAGCCTGCATCGAAGAACTGCCAGGTTTGGGCAGTGAAGGAGAACAATAAGGTCATATAAGTGCCAAAGATTAGAGGTGTTACAAGAGAGTGACAAACACAAAAAAGAAGGAGGAGAGATCAGGACGATAGATGTTTGATAGGAAAGAAGGAGCACACCCCACTAGAGCACCCACCAACCACCCACTCATACAGGTCTAAAAGTGGGATGACCAACAGAATGGAAAAGCCCACGGGTCACGGCAAACTAAGGTTCCCACACGTTTTCTTCCATGTTCGCCTCAAGTGGGGGAAAATAATGGCCTGAGATTTCCTGAACATACATAAAAGTAAAAAAACAAAACAATTTGAGCTGTTTCCATCAACAACTCACTTTAACGCACGCCTGTGAGGCCTGGTACAACAGAGGGGACAGAATTTGTCACGACTGACCTGAAGACGTCTAAAATAATAATAATAATATATAACATTTATATGGCGCATTTCCAAAAAAGTAGCTCAATGCGCTTTACATTGGAATACCCATTTTTCAAAAACCTTTCTTA